TAAGGTGCTGTTTGTTTTTTTAAAAAAAACTTCTTCAAACCACTTTTTGCTGCGCGGCGCAACACATGTGCATCATTTTTCCTCTCGCAGTAGTTTGTTTTTTGGAAGACTTCAGACTACAAAACATCTGCGCGTGTGCTGCGTGGCGCAGCACTTGACTTGTCCCTACAAACCTCTTCAACTTTCATTTTTTCCAAGTGTTTTTTTAGAATTTTGGTATAACTTATTTTTTTAAAGCTTTTATTTATTTTTTTTAAAAAAACTTTGATTTTTTTAAACTTTTATTTACGGATTTGATACAATTTCTCTTTATATTTTCCACAAATTTTTTTAACTTGATTATAAAAAAAACTTTGATTTTTTAATTTTTTTACCTTTTCTGTTAATAATATTTTCAGTTTGAGTTGCATCTTTTTTAACGTGTGTAATTTTTTACGAATTTTGTAGACGTCGTTTGCAATATTTTCTTAATTTTTTTCATTATTTTCTTTTTTTATGTTTTTTAAAATTAGTTTTTTTCTGGAAAAAAACTGTTAGCTTCTTTTATATTTTTTAAGTTATATTTAAAAAGTTTTATATTTTTGTTTTTTTACATGTTCTTTTTAATTTCTTTCAATGTTTTAAGAGTAGAATTATTAAAATTTCGATGTCGAGAACTATTTTATGTTTATAAAATTAGTTTATTTAAAATTTAGTTTACTGCAGATGTTAAAAAACAAACATGCTTCTTATTATAGGCTGCAGCCGTTTGTTCCACATTTTCTGCTACAGAGGATTGCAGAGGTGGTCCGCAGACTTCATGAAATTTCTCTTCGAAAAAACAAACAGACCTAAATCTCCTTGATTCGTGATTGCGTTCTTGAATTTTTTGATCATTTTGACTCATTTGATTAATTTTTTTTTTGAAAAACTCATTTGTTATTGGATGTAGTCTTCAAAAGAATTGGATTTACCATACAAAAAGGGCTTAGCGGCGCAACTTGTTGCCCGTTTGCCTTCTCATTCGTTGTATGATGATAACTAAAATGTTTTAATTAAAAAATTTTAATGTTTTTCTCTAAAAAAAATTGTTATTATCCAATAATTTTTACATTGATCAAGCCCCGATCCAATCTTATTCCTTTGTTTGATTTGATTCTCAATTGAAATTGTTTGTTTAAATCAAGATTTTATCCAAAAATCATTTTAATTCACTTTTAAAATTTGATACTGTTCATATTCGAATTCATATTGAGCCAAAATCTTTTGATTCGACTATTATTCACTGATCCATATCTTGAGGCCAAATTTGATGTCCATTACTGTTAACAAATGATTTTGAGCCCATAAACTTTCTTTTAATCCGATAATGAATTGATGAAAGCCCAAAGATTCACTAAAATCAGTTCAATACGTCTCTTGCGTCGTTTTTTTCATATGTATAAAACAGTTGTACCATCGGATCCTTATGTCTCAGTTTGCAATCGTTTTGTTCTTGAGTCTCGGTTTCATCTTATTGTTCTTAATAATCGATTGTAGTTGATTGTTAATCTGAAATTGGGAATCGATTTCATATGATTTGTTCTATGACAAAATCGATTTTGTTCAAGTTGAAGTGTAGAAATCGTTAAATTGGTTCTTTAATTTGGATGAATATTGTCAAGAACACTTGAATATGATGAAGAACTGTTGGTTAAACATGTTTTTTATCTTAAATTTGATGTGTTAATGATCAATTTTATGTTTGTTGATCTTTGACTTCGAAAAGTCAAACTCAGAAAAAATCAAACTCGTTTTTTAAGTGATGAATCAATGAATTGGAGGATAAAATTGGAAGATAGAAGTTGTATTTGGGTTGTGGATGTCGAAATCAAGATTGATTTGGGGTTTAATTTCGAAAATTGGTTGGGTCTATGTTCTTGATGTCAAACACAGTAAATGAGTTTCATTCGACACTTGAATGTTGATTTGGAAATCGAAGTCATTTTCTGGTCAATAGTGATTTTGAATGAAGGACACTAAGTGTTGAAAGGAAGAAATTTTGACTTCGAAGGTCCATTTTGAGTTGGAATCGATTTTTGGTGTCGATGGTGATATAGGGAACGACTGTCACTGTTTGCAAGTCGAACACACATTGGTTTGGATTCAGTGAGTATGGAGTATGTGATGCTATTGATTTGGGATTGATTCTTGGATGTCGACTTCGAAAATGATTTCACAGTTGGAATTTGTATTGGGTACTCAAGGTTGATGGTCAAAGGTCAATTGAATCGCATCTGAGAACGAACGGGTTGTGTAACTTTAGAATTGTATTTTGATTGTGTTTTGGAGTCTACACTCGACATTGTGAATTGTGGGGTTCCAATAATGTATTAGAGTCGACTTATACACTGAGTTTCGAAGGCTTGATATCGATTGGTTATGTCGACTTCGAAGGAAAATGGGTCAAGTCGAATGGGTTAAGTCGACATTGAATGGGTAAATGGTGTGATGATCGACTTCGAATGCTTATGGAGTGGTTCAAATAGTGATTTACAATTCCGACTTGTGCTCAAATACGTTGAGTCTGATGGTTCGAAGTGTGATGAACACTTGCGGATTCGATGTGTATCTGGTGATTTGGGGAAGAAAACAAACATTTTAGATTGCACCCCTGAACTTTCTAAGAAGTGGCAAAAGTTACCCACATTCGAAATGGGAACAAAAATGGTGTAAAAATTGAATTTTCGTTTCGAATCCCTAGAGTTTATGCGAAATGGCAGAATTTACCCAGTTTCGAAATTAGGCTGAAAATTCTGAGAAATGAGAATATTTTCGAAACAGGCCCCTGCAGTTAATGCGAATTAACACTTTATGCCAAGTTTCACAATTGGGGTAAAGTTTTGCATCTTAGGCTGTTTTGGGCGTATCGGGTCATTGCAGAATTTCGTAATTGACAGTTTCTACCCAAATTTGTGAAATTTCGTCAAAGGCGGTTCGTGAACGAATTCGAAAATTGAGATTTTTTGGATTTTCCGGATTCATGCAAAACGTTTATGCCATGTGTTAAGGGGGAGTTTTGGATAGAAAAATTCCGAATTGAGCGCTTTCTCATTCCTTTTTGGTTTTATAATCATTTTTCGATTATAAAAAGGGGGAGAGAATTAAATATGAGAATTCGAAAGTTGAATTTTTCATATTACGCAGACTTGAAGACCGAAGTGACCTTTAGCAACGAAGTTTATGAAGTGATTCAATTGGAGATTTGGAAGTGATTAGTTCATGATGGGTTTGGACTTATTGAAGATTTTTGGGGTGTGCTTTTATGCTCAAAATTGGGTAATTTTGTGGAAATTTGGATACTCCTAATTGCCTTTTGATGCTCGGTTTGTAAGGACTCACACTCTAGAACCCGGATTGGAAGGTCATTGAAGAATCAAAGATTAGAAGCTCATTTTTACATGTGTCACGTTTGAGGCTTGGTTCGTGAAGTTGCTCGATTTTTGGAAGATTGAAGCGGGTCATCCATTCCTAACTTTGAGGGAGAGAATGTTAGGGTGCAAAGTTATGCATGTATGACTTTGTAATGGTTTGACTCTTGTAGACCCATTTTCATGTGGTAAAGTAGCCTTGTGATATGAGAGATAGAGAGAGAAAGAGAAAGAGAGCGAGAGAGAGAGAGAGAGAGAGAGAGAGATAGAGAGAGACATGTAAACACCTCTATATATAGTGGGTTTCATACCACTTGTAGAGATGTGTTTGAGAGATGTAGTTCATAGTGACTAGTGAGTGAGGTATTTATGAAGTTCTAGTATAGTACCCTTTTTTAACTCATTTACTATGATCGAATACATATTTTAGCACCCAAATCAATGTGTTCTCTGTGTTCTTTAATTACGCATGCCAAATCAAATGCTCATAATTTACAAGTCAAATTGGAGATATATGCCTTGATTGTTGGGTTATATTGTGATCTTAATGTAGATTATGTCACACATTTGTGGGAAGAGTTTGGAATGGGTATTTCTCACACCAATGTTTCGAATGGTGTCTCTTGTACGAGATATTAGAGTTTAATTCTGCAAGAAGTGTATGCGAAATAAGGCATCATGGTTCCATCTGATGTGCCGAAGGCATAATTTACAATCTATTAGCATCCAAAAGCAGTTGAAGATGATCCCGTTATGTTCCAACAGTGGCTCGAATCCCAGATGCTTTGTTGCGAAAGGTGGATCTGACTCATCCAGTTCTTGTTGCTTATTTGGCAACAATCAACCCTGATGAAAAAGTTGGGGGTTTTGTTACCTAAAGGGGTGGAAGGTACTTCGAAGGGTGGTAAAGCTTCCAAGAAGTCTAAGAAGCCTGAACAACCTAAGTCCGTTCCTGAGCCAATTGGGAAGGAGGTTATCTAGTAGGTTCACGAACCTGTTGTACAAAATGTTCAAAAGGAGGTGGTTCCTTCGAAAACTGGTGTTCTTAAACAAACCAAGAAACTAGCACATAGACCTCGTCACTCACCAGAAAGACCAACTATTGAAAAAGTTCCAGAGGAGCCTATCTCTTCACTAATGGCGGTTTCTGCTTTGAAAATCAAGAAAATTCGCAAACCCCAGCTCAATCGAAGGGGTGTGATCATTCGTGAGATTCTTGCTCCTGTTTCACTGGCTTCAAAGAAACGCCAAGCACATGCCATGGTGAAAAAGATTAAGAAGAAGAAGGAGCAATTGGAAGATCCTCTTGATGAGGTAGTTGTCGAAACGGATTTTGAAAATGCGAGTGACAGATATCCTATTCATCGCGAAGAGCTTGGTTTTGGCTTCGCATCACCACAAATGGACTCACCAGTCAAGTCGACTTTCGAGGAGACTGGAAGTCTTAGTGTCTCTGTGAAAGTATCTAATACAGACACAACCACTAATTTGGGTGATCCTTCAACAACTTCCATCCCTGAGAAGACTGTAGTCATACCACCCGAGGTGTCGATGGCTGAATCCGTTCTGGAGGAGGTTTGAACCTCAGGCATCACTATATACATATCTCATATGGACACAAATGTCAACAAGGGTGAAGGGGTGTCGAATTTCGAAGCTCGAGGTACAACTTCTGTTGCAACTTCATCAGTTCTTTTTTTCCTTATTTCATCATCCACAATTGAAACTACACTCATTGATACTTCTACTACCTTACCTTCATTTCATACACCTATTCCAACTTCATTACCTGCTTCAACCGTGTCACCTACTTATACCAACATCATGAATAAACCTATCACTTCTCTTTTGTCTTCACAATCCACCGAAGGTGAAAAGATAATTCCAGAAGAAGATCATGTTGATGTTGATGATGATGTGATGGTCTCGTTTGCAGAGATTCAGTTCGATCCAGAGGAGGATAACATTCCTAATCATATACTTATGTCAGGAAAGTAGTTTAGGAATTTAAATCACAAACTGGATTTATTATTATAGATTCATGCTGATATTGGGGGTAGAAATACTGTCTCGGGGATTGAGGTTGATTTATTGCTTAAATCCCAAGAGAATCGATTGGAGCAAGCAATGGAACAAATCAAATGTATCTGGGAGGAACTTAAAAGAAGGGCTTTCGGTTTTTTTCACCCCGTTTTGTTTGAAATGTCATGTTGAGAATTTTTCAATTTGAGGTTAAGGAACTTCGTGCAGTGGCTAAAGAATGACATCTACTTTTTGTTGAAGAGGTCAAGAAAGTGTAGGAGTCTGTTAAGTTCAGTTCGACATTGTAAGGTGAGTTGTCCTCACTATACTTAGGGGGTCGAAGGCACCAAGTCCAGCAGCCCATTGGATCTGATATCCTAGTAGTTGTTGATATGTTGAGCATGAGTTAGTTATGCATGCTAGTTTGCTATGCTAGTATGGTAGGTATGTAGGACTACCTGTGATACTGTCTGATTATCCGTATGCACATTTATCTGTTATATGTCCACATGTTGTGTTATGTTGTGTGGGTAGGGTTGAGGTTGTACTGCTTTGTGAAGTAACCAACAAACCCTGGAGTATGTCAGATATGAGCTGAGGGCTAGTGTAACATGTAACGCCCGTGTTTCAGGGCTAAGCATTATTAGATGATGTAATAGTCTAGTTCAACTATTGTAAATCTTTTTGAAGTAATAAAGATGAATTATTTGAGTATTATGTGATTTATGTGCTTATATATTTGATTATAAAGAAATAATAAAAATAAGCGTCAAAATTTAAGTTTTGAATAAACCCGATATCGATACATAAAGTTGTAGTGGTCGAAACAAGGATTCCGGGGATATAAAGAACGCCGAAATCCGAGTTATAACGAAGAAGTTATGACCCGTCGAAGTTTCGCGACAGAACCGGCACCGCACCGGGAGACGTAAATAGTGAATTTACGATATAGAGACTTTTAGCCTTAGCGATCTAAATGAAAGTCATAGAAAATGTTAAACCGAGAGCGTGCATCAAAAGAACGCCCAAATCTGACTTTGTATGAGGAAGTTATGATTTTTCTAAGTTTCGGCTTAGCGGGATACAGCCCGAAGTTCGAATATTAGATCGAGCGGTTTATAGCCGACACAACCTAAATGAGAATCGAAGATCTCGTTAATAGTAGTGTAACGATAAAAAGACAGACAAAAACGGACGTCGGATGAAGAAGTTATGGATTTTTAACGGACCAATCATGTCCTGGCCACTTAAAAATATAACTTTTAAGATAAAGTCAAAATTAGCCGACGGAGTCCAAACGAAAGTTGTAGAGTATGTTCCTGCCTACACGTGGATATAAGGAACGTTGAAAACGGAGCTTGTATGCGAGAGTTATGATTTTTAGAAGTCGAAGTATGAAATCACGAAGCTGGGTGCGAGGGGTACGCCCAGCGTGTCCGAGAACGCACCGCATAGTCCGAAGAAAGCCTGGAGATGTGAAGTATGCTCCGCGTCGGAAGGAGTTACGCCCCGCGTACAGCTGCATTGCTCGGTCCAGAAGAGTCCACGTCGCCCCACCCGAAGCGAGACACCTGTCCCTACGCGCAGGGTACCACCGAGGGTACGCCCAGCGTTCGTCCGAGGGTTGTGCCTATAAAAGGGAGTGCGAAGGCTGCCGAGTTCCTCACTCCAAAATCCCATCGTTCTCTCATTAGTTTGTCTCTCTAAGATCCCTAAACCCCCCTAAAGCCTAGGAAAACCCCCTAGCCCCCGAAGGAAGCCCCGGAGATCCCGAAGGCTCCAAGAAAAAGAGTTTTTCGGTTTAAAACTATGCCCGCGCGGAGCCAGGTTTTTCAAGCAAACTTCCCGGTTTTGTCAAAGAAGATTATTTTTAGAAGCGAGGTGTTGTCCGAATCACTCCGTATCAGGTGAGTGTATAGTCACTTTTATCTTACACATAGATATGAAGTATTTTATATAAATTATGTGCTATGTGTATAAATATGTTATCTGTTTACCTGAGATGTTTGCTGGATGAAAGATCTATACTTATTTCTTTCAGATCTGAAACTTTTTCCTTCAGATCTACACTTTCTCACCTCAGATCTAAACTTTTTCTTCAGATCTAAACTGTTTACTTTGAGATCTATGTTGGATGAAAGATCTGAACTTCTTTCCTTCAGATCTGGACTATATATGTATTTTATGCTTTAAAAGTTATGCTGGATAAAAGATGTAAGCTTTATTTGACAGATCTGGACCATGTATGTATTTTATATCTACAAATATGTTGGGTAGAACATGGGTAGATTAAATTGTTGGTGTGTGGTGAAATAAAATGATGAGAGGCCTCAATTTTGACGTTGTTCCAGTCATCTAGCCGAGTATGGATGACGACCACGGACTTTTCTAGGAAGTCCAGTGGAACGCTAGCAGGCTCGCAACCTGTAGGTGTTTGTGAATGAAGTGTTCACCGGTGTACTCCATCCCCCCCACCCATGGTTGCCTTACGGACATATATGGCTGAGGAATCCCCTTAGCAGTAGTGTCCATCCCGATGAAATTCCTTTGGATAGGTTCCTTGTGATAGATGTGTTAGGGACGTAAGGTGAGGATAACGGGAATGGGTAATCGGGTTTAATGATTGTTGAAAATAATAAACTTATTTATTGTGGGTTGAAAACCCTATATGCTCACCAGGCTCCCCAGCCTGACCCACTCAGTTTCTTGTATTGCAGGTAGTGGCAAAAGCATAGTTGGATGATAAGACGAGAGATTTTGGATTTGAGGCCAGATTGTGTTTTGTGGCCTAAGATGTTTATTTCATTTTGGTTTATGCTTATGGTCTGTATCGATGATTGACATCCCGAGTGTTTGTAATGTAATGAAAATACATTTCTTTAAGAAATGCTTTGATGAAATTTATATCATATTTTTTTTGGGAACAAATTCCGCAATGCTTTTCTTAAGAAGTTACTCTGATTTTTATTAAAAAGCATAAACGAAATCGGTCTTTTCTGGCCGTAAAAATGGGGATGTCACAGTTGGTATCAGAGCATTAGTTTAAGCGAACTAGGAATTTGTAGGATTTCTAGACTTAAACTTAGAATGCTAAGCGATGATCGTGAGATGAGTGTCCCCCATATTTTAGACACGAGCACTAGTTTATTTTAGGATAGATGCCTAAAATGCTTTTATGTGCTAAACGCTTTATGCTTTTCCTTATGTGCTATTATTTTTTCGGATCTATGGTCTGTTTCCGACCGGATCTGGAAACCTTATGTGTTTAGGATTCTAAGCGTTCGAATACGATATTAGAACTAGCATGTAACGTTTCGGAGTGATGGGGGAAATTTAAACGTCTATCATGAATAATGATCTAAATTCACCTAATTTGGTGTATAGATCGAAATGGCAAGAACCCGAAGTGGAGCTGGAAACGCAAATGGAAACAGGAATCAGCAACCTCATCCCGAAGTGATTGAGCAGGTGCCGATAGTCGAAGTTGCACCTGAGCCAGTCACAATGGCTGGAGTTCAAGCCATGATTCGGGCTATGATGGCGGAATAGAGGGAAGAAATGAGACAACTGTTGCTGAATAACAGAAGCGAACCTTCAATGCCTGTTGAACAACCAGAACGAAATGACGAAGAGTCGGAAGAAGGGAATAACAACCGCACTGTCAGTCAAGTGGAACCCCCAGAGGTAAGAAGGAATGACCCGGAGAGGGAAATCGACCGAGATGGACGTATGTATAAGAACTTCTTGGGTACCAAACCACCAAGTCTTTCTGGAAACCCAAAGCTTGTGGAGATTTTGGACTGGATCTCCGAAATGGACATGGTATTTGAAAGCTGCAACTGTAGTGATAAGCAGAAAACCGTCTTTGCGGTTCGATAACTGAAGACCGGAGTCTTGAGCTGGTGGAAATTGTTGGCGGATACGATGCCACGAGGAGAAGCCTTGAAGATGCCTTAGGAAGCGTTTATGGAACAACTGAAGATGCAGTACTGCTCCAAGATAGATCTGATCGACCTAAACAATGAGTTCCAAAACTTGAAGAAAGGGAAAATGAGCATCGATGACTATGCTACTGAGTTTACCGAGAAGATGAAGTTATTTCTATACCTGGTGCCGACTGAACTCGCCAAGATCGACAAATTTGCTAACGGATTGCCATCAGACTTTGGCCCAACAGTCAAAATGGCAAGCACGCTGAAGGCAACCGTTAGAGCAGCCAAAAATGTTGAGACCCAGTTAAAAGAAAGGGGTCTGGAGAGAACTGAGGTGGGTGAGAAGAGAAAATTTGAGGGGTCTTCAAGATCCAACAAGAAAAGTAAATCCTCGAAGTCTGGTTCGAGAGGAGGAGGAGGCGAAGCGAAATGGTTCGAAAAGTGAAAAAAGAAACATCATGGGAAATATGACAGGGAAATCACTTGTTTTAAATGTGGGAAGCCTGGGCACTATGCCAATGAGTGCACGTTCAACAAGAAAGTTTGTTATGGTTGTAATGGAGAAGGGCACTTTTTGAAGGACTGCCCGAAAAAGAAGGAGGCAGCAAGGCCTAATGTACCACTGGAGCCAAAAGCCAGAGCTTTCCAGATGACACTGGAAGCCGCGAAGGAAGCAGCGGACGTCGCTTCAGGTACCTTTCTTGTAAATGGATTGCCTGCCAATATATTGTTTGATTCTAGAGAAAATTACTCCTTTATATCACATAAATTTGGTGGAAGACTAGCATTGCCTATAGAAAAACTTGATGATGCTCTAGTTGTAGAAGTTGCCAGTGGCAAATTCATACCTGTTAGCGATTGCATTAGGAATATCGTCATCGACTTGAACAGAAACGAATTCCACGAGGAGATGTTACCTATTGAGCTGAATGGTTTCGATATCGTACTGGGAATGGATTGGTTTAGCGCCAATGATGTCGAGATACTGTGCAAGAAGAAGATAGTAAGAGTGAACCCGCCTGTAAAGAGTCATTTGTGGTGTAT